AGCATGGACGCGTCTTCCACTCATGTGCGAGAGTTTTCCTTTCCGTCGGGGATCGCTCGCGCCAATCCCGCAGCCGTCATGTCATCCTAACATCAGCCTCCCAGCCAACCCCGTCTTCACCGTCTCGCCGAGTTGTTATCGGCTCCGGGCCTTCTGGACTCATCACCCGCATAGTCAACTGATGCGCGTCCTCTGATAGGCAAGGCCGCGCCAAGTCCACCACTGTTTGGAGGCGGCAAACCCTGGCAGAAAATGGTCCCGCCGTTGATAACCGCTTCTGGAAATCCAAACCCTGGCCCAAGCTGCTGCGTACCGGTCTCATGCTTGTGTCATTTTGCAGTCGCAGCGTGGTCGCTTGTTCCTTATCGAGAATCTATAGGGTAATTTATGCACTTTATAGGGTAATCGATACAACACATCGTGGATTCGGTGTGCCACAGTGCTGCCTTTACCCCTCTGGCTCCAGGACCTGGACACTAGGGTTGCGGGTGCTTGCGGAGCGATAAGCCATCATGGTAGAGATAAAGGAGTGGCTCTTGTACCCTTAGACTGCGACCAAACAAAGCGTTTCTGAACACCAAACATCAAGCTCTTCGTCTACTTCTCATCATACACTTGCTTCTAATACAATTCTGTGATACCCCAATCCTTTCCCTACTTTCATCATGGCCGTCAAGGAGTGCTACATCGACGAGGCACCCCAGCAAAACCCATGGGTTCAGACTCCGCTGAGAGAGTCGTACGCGCTGTCTGAAGCAGCGGGATGGTACGGTCACACTCCCTCTCACCTTTACCCCCTCTCCTCACTTTCACGTAACAACATGGCCCCATCTTCAAGAAAAGGGAATTCTAAATCGTAGAAGCAGAATCTTTCTCAAGCTGGAAAATCTCCAACCTTCTGGATCATTCAAGTCACGGTAAGCATCAATCCCTTCAGCTGCTACTCAATAACGTACTGATTCGTCTACCAGAGGAATCGGCAACTACATCCTCCGTCGTCTCGCAGAACTCCCAGAAGGCTCGCGCCCTCACATATTCGCATCCAGCGGTGGCAATGCAGGCCTCGCTGCCGTCCACTCTGCTCGCGCTCTCAACTTACCGTGCACTGTCGTTGTACCCACCGCCACAGCACCTTTGATGGTTGCCAAACTACGAGCAGCGGGCGCGTACGAGGTTATCCAATACGGTGCAGCTTGGAAAGATGCAGACACATATCTTAAGGAGCATGTAATGCCCTACGTACGGTTCTCTCCATGTATACAATTTGACTGAAACACTGACGCATCCATCAGGCACAAACTTCGACCATCTACTGCCCACCCTTTGATCACCCAGACATCTGGCAAGGCAACAGCACCTGCATGGACGAGATCGCGGCTCAACTCCCAGGCGAGCCGGATGTACTAATCTGCTCTGTCGGCGGCGGCGGCCTAATCAACGGTATCTGCCAGTCTATGGATAAACACCAAATGAGTAAGACAACCATCCTCGCCATGGAGACTGCTGGCGCCGAGAGTCTCAACGCAGCGCTCCAGGCCAAGGAACTCATCACACTACCCAAGATCACATCACAAGCAACAAGTCTAGGCTGCGCCCGCGTAACAGACGCAACCTTCAAATACGCACAGCGAGGCAACGTTCGAAGCATCGTTCTACCCGACGCAGAAGCAGCAATGGGCTGCTGGCGCCTCGCAGACGACGAGCGCATCATGGTAGAGCTCGCCTGCGGTATTAACGTCGCTCTCTGCTATGACGGACGACTCGAGAAGGCCCTCGGCCGCCCAGTCCGTCCAGAAGACAAGGTCGTCATTGTGCTTTGTGGCGGTAGCAACGTCACGAGCAAGATGTTGTGTGATTGGAGGAACGAGTATGCGTACATTGAAGAAGAGACTGAGGCTAGGAGGCGTAAGAGCGATTCTGCGCTTGGTAGCGAGACACAGAGTGAGACGGGCAGTGTGAAGGATGTCGATATGGGAATGGGCAATGTCCCAAGTGAGTACAGTAAGCCTCTGGTGATTGAGGGCATTGAGGTTGGCTGTGTAGAGTGCTCATAGGAGTAACTTCTTTTCATTTTCCTTCTTCACGAATCTCCTTGCGCTCAGACTCATTTACTGAGGCGCTTCCATGATAGCGTTTAATGGCAGAAAAATTCGAGTTCAATCTCCATGCGTTCACTCACCATTCATTTTTCGTGGGGCTTGGTGGTGCCTTAGCTGCTGGGCTATGTCTGCCACCTCTCGAGAAGGTTTTTTTTTGGCAAGGCTCCAGGGCATCAAGGTGCGTCGTCTCTCTCGTTGCTTTCACTCTTAACATGTTCTGAGTTCACACTGCTACTAGCGTCAGATGCCGTCACTGGTCTGATCTGCCTTGCGTGACAATGCTTTTACAAAAAAGGTAACCTACTCATGATGTCATGAGGCAAAAGAGTCTGCGAAGGATGTAAGAGGTGAATTGCTTTGTTCAGTCGTCTGGAGCGCTCAGAACAAGGCCTGTATAGTCTGAAGCGCTGTTCTATCTTGTAACGCTTTGTCTCACACGCCTGTACTGTGACTCGAAATACGATGTTTGACTTCATTCAAGAGTATTGTATGCATTGTCGTTCTGGTGCGCGCGTATTCTCTCACTCCACGTCACGTCTCCGCTACCCTTCTTGCGTAACCACTGCTCACTACCTTATCGACTACGTCCACACCGTAAAATTAGAAGTGCCCTCCCGTTAGTCGCCGAAAGCGAGGTCATAAAACTTCAAAGCTCATTTCGCCATGGCTAACCCGCGAACAGTCATCAATCCATTTACCAAGAATGAACACCGCATGCGACGAAACACGAGGGGTACGAAATGGGTCACAGCCGGCCCTTCGATGGTAGTCAAACAGAACCTTGACACTGAGCAGCGGCCAACACAGCCCAACCATTACAAGTTCAGTTTACTCAGCGACTCAAATGACGGGCCCACCGAGACGTGTGTGTCGTCATCGATGACATACGAGACAAAACCACCATCATTATCTTCAAAGCCTTCTGCAATCCATACGAAGGTATCATACCAGGAAAGCCCTGTAGTAGCACCAAGACTTCTCGACTTCTCGAAGCTTGAACAGACCTGGAAGATGTCAGACTCGGCCGTCCTTCCTCGTTGTTCAGCGTCAACAGTACGGCCTGAACAAGGAACAAAGCGCATGCGGAAGAACCAGATTTTGGATAAACCATCTGATACTGATGAAGCTACAATCTGGAAGCAAAAACGTAACCAGAAGCAAGCTGTTTCCGGTCCGACTCATTGGTACCGCACAGCTAAGAACATCTACACTGCAGGCCCAAAGGGTGAGGGACAGAAGGTTTGGGAAGCGTACCAGCAGACACTTGGCCATAGGAAAGCTTGTAATGAGCCCTCTGAGATCAAGCCTCCCGAAACAATGGCGACGGTGAAGATCGAAAGGCGACCGCCGTGTCCTCTTCCACCCCCAGCAAGTCCTGATGGAGTTCTCTTCCCACCGCTGCGGCCGCGGACGTCTCATACTAATAACAGTAACAAAGTAAACATACCTGATAGGCCAGATGCGCGGAGAGATTCTGGCTTCTCGAGCTCAATCTATGGACCACCGATAGCCACTGAAAGAACAGTTGGATCAATAGTTGATGTGAGCAACGCTCACCCTCCCTTCTCAGGGATAGACACAGCAGCGAAGGTACGAAGAGCTAAAGACGTGCCATTCGTAAATTTCCGGCAGCCCGCTGAGAAAGAAGAGTCCAACTCATGGTGGAAACATTCGCCCTCCAGAGCACCTCAATCTTTGAAGTCCAAGATCTCACGTCCTGTCCCACTAATAGAACTAATCCAAGATACCACAGTCAACGTAACTGTAGAACGTGGGGGAATTGGCGGAACAACAGCTGAACTTCCCCTTCCCGTAACCCGCACTGACGTACCCTTCTCCCAGCCGTCTTACGCCCATGAGAAGACTAAAGAGACTAGCCGACCCTCACCTCGAGCTTTTCATCTCCCTGTGTTCCATCTCAGTCCTGCTAAGAGCAAACGCCACGGCCGAGGAAAAGCAAATGTAGATGCGAACGACAACGCTCACTCGGCACACTGGCACGACAAGGTCGTAGGACCAACGTTGAAGACTGGTAAGTCGTTGAAGCAAACTGCTATGCAGACCCTAGACAGCGTAAATTCAGGGAGAAAGAAGACACTTTCGGATATTAGCTTTGCGTGCCAGGGTAGGGTAGACGATGGGCTGGATAGGTATCAGGTCAGTGAACAAAACTCGTCAAGCGACGATGAAGAGGACATGTATCCTGAACCGTTGTTCTATGGTAAGATGTTAGGCAGAGATAAGAAGTTATCTGGACCTTAGTTTAGGGCTTTGAAGGACTAATGAGGCCCTTCTTCGCATCACTCCTGTCGTGGAAAGCCGGATGACGCTTCCGTTGTACTATTTTCTATTTAGTCATCTTCCGATCATCTCACTGTGGATAGCTTTTGAGCAAGCATTAAGACGCGCTTGTATTTATGTGATGATACATTCATCCTTCACTTGTATCATCTACACCTCTCACACCGAGGCAACCGTTCAACTCGTATCCCCGTGAAAGACCATTACGCAGCCCGACATCGATGAGACGCAGGAATACCATTCGGACACCTGGCATGGCACTACACTACTCGCATGATCACTTGTCCAAAAGCCGCAATACTCCCCGACCCAATCGTAGTCCTAGCGCTCTGATCATAAATCTGAACCTTGGCGCGCCAGGTATTTTCTAGACCAGGGTAGTAATACTGCACATCCCTGCCTATCTGATGGTAGTCTGAATCAGTGTTGAGCAGACATATGTCTTGCGAGTCGCTGAAGCAGTCAACAAAGTCGAGATCGCCGTTGGTAAAGTACTGTCCTCGTGCGTTTCACGCTTGTCAAGTGTACTTGCGGCCACAGAGCGACAAACTTTACATGCTATCCATCCTTTGCCTTGTCCAGCGAAACATCGGCATCTACATGTGTTCTGATGCCATTCAACTCCGACAACGCAGCAATGAGATCCTTCTGCGGCCCACCCAGATGCTCCAACACCTTCACTAGATTCTCTGTTTTGGGAATGAGCTTGTTTTGCCCTATTCTGATGAAAGAAGCGAGTGGTTTGAAAGCAGTTGCTGCTATCTCCTCGAGCAGGTAGTGTTGGTGATCCAACGGTGTGGTGGACGAGTTGGACGTATTAACGAAGCTCGAAGTCGAGCCTGCTTCGCTTTCTTCGCTACGCGCGATCTGCTGTTTGGCAAGTCGATCGCGATCAACTACCGCATAAGTGATTGTGGCCTTGAGTCCTAGCGGCATTTCTTCGGTGCACACCACCCCATCTGGCTGGCTACACAGGGTCGCTTTGTATTCCGACCCATGCTGCCCAACGAGAAAATTGGACACGTTTGACATGGAACTTGGCTGGATGCGGATCGTGGCAGATGAGTGTGGCCAGAATATCTGAGATAGCACAGAATGATTGTGCAGGATCTGGAGAATGTCATCGGCGTTGAGACCGTCTGGGAGCGGGTATGTGCTTTTGCTGCCTGTTTTGGTAGAATACAAGACTTGCCACTTGTCAGATATCCACTGAATATACCTATACCTGCCAGTTGCTGGCGAAGGCACACGTACAAGATGCCATTATACGAGATTTGTCTGTCAAGCTGTTAGCACGAATAGTAAGATGTCTTAGCACCCCATTAGCAATGCGTAGCAAGGGAGCTACATACTTGTAATAAGTTAGCAAGACATCTTAAGAGCTATTCGTGGCAGCTACTTTACCCTCCCTGAACTTGATTACTAGCAATGTGTCGCCTCTTCAGTAACGAAGGGGAGGATGCTGATGAAGTCAGGCCGTGGGCACCAAGGTAGTAGCGGTCGTGCCTTTGACTCCGGAGAATGACGTTGTTTGCAAACCGGGGTGGTGGAGAAGCTCCTAAACAAATGCTTAAACGGCAGCCGCGGCAGCGGAGAAGTTTCGGAAGCAATGCCTGAACGGTAATGACGGCACTGACCTTGTAGTGTATTCAATAGCCTTGCATCATCTCCTCTGTACCAACTCAAGCCCTATGCAAAAATCTAGTGATAGTGATATACACGTGTATGACGCAGAAGCTGTTCACACTGCTTGGAAATGGACTAAAGTATGAAGGAGCGTGGGAAGCTTATTTAGGACTAAGTCTCGTATTCCTAGGCAGATGTGGAACGGCGTCGCGTGCTGCAGTCTCTAAATAGTTGCATGCAGAACTAAATGCGAAGGATGCCGGTATCAGATGGCTGTATTGACTACTAGAGTGAGATATTCTGACATTGCACAGTCTGTCCGAGCTGGAGGCGGAGGATTATGGAGTTGCTCGCACAGGCCACGTGCTGCGAGAGTTTTTGGAAGGCTAAAAGAGGGTAAAATAGTTTCGAAACGGGTTGCCTGACCGTTTTGGCCCCGGCTGATCACCCGCCGTGCATCCGGCGGAGAACGGATGGTCCCAGTGTAGTAAATTATGGGCATGGGAACGAGGATATGCATGAGATGGGGTATTATTAGGCTGGTGAAGATGGGAGGCTGGTAAGATTTAGCATGATGGAGGAGGAGTGGCAAATGCAGGCGCCTGCAGGCTGGGACGAGGAACACGATGAAGCGACTAGAGATGGGACAAGTTTTGGGCTGTGTCGATTGCGAAGATTGCAGAGCTTTAGCCCGGGTTTGTACTCGTGATGTTCATGGAAGGGCGTTGGTGTCTTGACTACGAGTGAGCCGAGACCGATAACTGCGAACTTCATCAGCATCGTCTGCATAGTGGGACGGGCCCTGGGGCGTAGGTGATGAGGCACGGGCGGGAACAGGCGCAACTCATGGCAGTGTCCATCCTCCCGTCAACTCACGCGACGGCCCACTGACCAAGACCAACGTGGCCTCATGAGAGATGCGAACGCGCCACTGCTAAGAAGGATGTTTCCCTATTAGCAGCCTGGCGCATCATTGCCATGGTCTCGTACTACCCCACGATGCAGCCATGGACGAAAATAACCGTGCAGCAAGAAACGAAACAAAACTACCTCAAGGCAGCTAGAGGGCCGACGATATCCAGGTAAATATCATGGTCGGAGGCTAGTGAGTCGATCCGAGGGGAATTAGCATGCGTTGTGCCTGGTCGTGCAGCAGACCCTGGGCGCACAATGCAGCAGCGCTCACATCACGACAGCGGCATTGATAGCTGCTTACAGCCAAGGCTTCTTGGATTGATCCAGATGGGCTGCTGATGAAGAGCGAGCGGGCGTGCGGATCCTTTATTCAAGTCGTTGCCAGCGGGCCATGGCGCGACCGAGCTTGCTTAAGGGCGGATCGGAGACACGCAGGTGCCGTGGTGTCGTGCTGCTTGTCTTGTCAGGACTCGATGTCGCCCTTGGACTCGACGAGAGGTGGGCCGCTATCAGAGCGGGGCGGCGCCTTCCCTCTCGTCTTGGAGGCTCCTTCCCGCCGCCATTGGTCGTCTGAGTTTGCTGCGCGCTTCCCGCACGCTTAATCCGCCCTAGCGCCCACTCTGCGTGATGCACAGGCCCTGCACCCTTCAACCACTCACCGGCGACAACCACCATGTCGCGTTTTGCAGGCGTCAAACGTCTTGCATTCATTGGATGTCAGCCACTTAATGCCCTGCCGACCGCGACGCCAACTCGCTGGACAGAGTTCGCTCCCGAGGGCACGAGGCGTGGGCATGGCTTTGTTCCTCGTTTTACCTATACCTCGGACGGCCCTCACAACGTCTGGAGGCGCAAGAGCAGACACGCACAACTGACCCATCCAACGGCCCTGCGAGGAAATCTGCCATTGCCACGCTGACTGACGGCATAAGCACCCTGTCAGATTTGCCCTTAAACCAAGCTCTTCGCGCTGCAGTGTCCAGGTCTGGATGCGCGTCGTTTGCAAATCGTCTATCGACTTCATCCGGGCGTCTATTTCTGGGCCACCACTCCCCTCCTCGCTCTGCGCGCCATTGGCATCCAGCTCGTCTCCCCACCCAGCCTATCAGACGCCCACCTGCAGTACTCCCAGCAGCCTTCCTCTAGGCGCCATACATTTAGAACGTTGTAAGTACCCGCCCGCTTTCCCATCGCAACCTTCTCCACCTGCTACCATCCGTGCTCCCCACTATCCAATCCTCGACCCTTCCCTCCTCGAAGCGCCCTGAGCCTAAAAGCCCAGCGCTTCGCCCATTGCTAGACCTCGTCTTTTCTCCAGCAGGTCTCTTATTGTAATACGTCGTGCGTCTTTTATCATTTGTCTCTCTTACCCTCTTGCGACTGGTCTAAGCTGGCCTGGATTTTGGTCGTCGTCGTCCTGTCTTACATTTCTACCTCTCTCTCCCGTCTCCACTACATGAAAGCCTCCAGCTTCCTCGAGTGAACCTTGGATTCTCTTAGAATGGCCGCCAACGATAAGAAGATTACCCAGATCACGATTGAACGACGAAGCTCCAAAGACTCCCTCGACGTCAGGACTCCACGCGCAGCACGCTTCGCCGAAGCAACATCAGTCTACTCGCCGGTTGATCCTCCTCGGTCGCCCATCGAGTACCCAACCAACCACTACAAGCCACAACCCCAGATCGCAGACACAGGCTTCGGCTACATGCAATCCGTCGAGATGGAAGAAACCGATCGGAGGTACCTTCCTCCACCAACCCCCAAAACCCCACTCAAGAGTGCATTGAAGTCGCCTGGCGCTCCGCCCCGGACGCCGGCCGGCGCAATGTCAATCATGAGCCCTACCTTCCGGGAAGAGCATCAGCTTGAGAAGCGGGAAGCCATGACCGACAAGGAGCAAGCAAAGGATTTGGTAAGTCTTCAGTCAGTCTTTCAGTCACATGCAGTTGCTAATAATGCATAGAAAATCAAGGTTCGCGTTCGACTAGCAAAGATCTTCCTACGGGGCATCAACTTTGCCTGCTCGCTCATCGTCCTTGCCATGGTCGCCAGTGCCTTTGCCATCTTCAACGCCACAAAGAACCTCGCACCAAGGAACAACCTTCCACCATGGGCCGACAACACCAAGGTCTGGCCTCAAATTCTTCTGCTGTCCATCGCCTGCGTCTCCCTCGTCATGTCCATCTTTGTCATCATCGCCTACTGGAGAGGAGGTCACCATCGAGCTGAAAAGGTTGCGGCATACTACACTGTCTTTGCTGTTGGATTCTTCATCTTCAGCATCGTCATGTGGGGTGTCGGTGCAGCCGTATTCAACCAAAGCAAAGCGCAGAACAACAACAAAGACATGTGGGGTTGGTCCTGCGTTGACAACAAGCGACGACATCTCTTCGAGGACGATATCGCCTACGGCCTTGTCTGCCGTCTTCAGGTAAGCACAGTCTTAGTCATGGCAACGGAGAATGAATACTAACGCTCCATCAGAACTGGGCTCTCGTTTGCTGCATCATCGAAGTCGTAATCGAAGTTCTAGTCATTGCCATCTACGGCATCGTCTTCTACCGCTTCTGGTCTAAGCGCAAGCTCCGCAAGTCCATGGCCATGCGCGACCGTGCCCGTTCCGATCTCTACCTCGCCCAGCTTCGCTCGCAATCCGCACCCAACACCCCTGGCTTTGGTCCCATGTCTCCCCGCTCCGGCGGCTGGCGCCCACCTCCAGGTCACCCAATGTACGTTGACCCGCACTCTGCCGCTGAGGCTGGCGAGAGCGACAAGGTCCAATACGCCTACGCTCGCGAGATTGCTCAGCCCCAACCATTCACCCTCCAGGCACCGCCTATCAAGGTCACTGGTGCCACACCCAAAATCGAGCAAGATGGCTTCGACTCTGCACCCACACGGACAGGCACCGTATCCCCACCACTGCCATCTCCAGGCTTCCAAGAAAGGAGGAACGAGCATGTTGCTGCTGCGCCGGGTGAACAGCAGTACGCTGCTGTTCCCATCCCCGGTGCTTACACACCACTAGCATCGCCCTCATACCCACCCCCACAACAGCAACAACCCACAGGCTTTGACTTTGGCTCTTCAGTGACGGGTCAGCGATAAAGCCGTTGAGTTTGCTGCTTGAACGTGGGTTGTACTGTGGATTTAGCGCGCATCGTCACCTCTCCTTTCTCTTCTCAATCAATCTGGAATCTGGTTGCATGGTTTTCGCACAACGATATCAGGAAATGTACATTCTTCCACCCCTTTGAAGCGAGGCTTCGGCCGGGCTTTGTTTTTTCCTTTGTCTGTCTCTCCGTCTATCGCTAATTGGTGTTCTGGGATTGGGAATGTTTTTAAGATACCTTTGAAGTAAGAACGCCTCCTTACTACGCCTCTCGTTGTAC